TCGGGTCAAACATGCCCTTATACAAATATGAACAAATGAATACTGAAAAGATACAAAATACACTGATCAAATAGAAATGGAAGGTAGTACAAAAGAAAACGGAGGACCAATAACTAAGCTTCAGCTTCTTCTGCTACGTCTGCAGGGCACTCCTGCTAAGAATCCTCTGGCTCCTAATGATCTCCCAGCTGAACCTGTTCTTCATCTAAGTCTGACGTACACCAGAGAAAACAGGTGTACATCAGGTGCATGGCGCACAGCAAGACCCGACCCCACAAAGAAAAATAGAACGAACGGAAATCCAATGCGAAAAACGATACGATAATAGAAACAACAAAAGAACGTACAATTGAAATCCACAAATCAACATGAAAACACTACTAAATTATGATAACAATAAGCATCCAGAATCGATCAGGTAACGAATCATGCAGCTAGCGATCAGTCTAATCATCCAAATCACAAGGGCATACACTAGATGGAATTAATACTTAAAGATAACAGAAATAAAAATAGAACATGTGATGATAGTAATAATGATAGAGGCGTGCAACTGGAATACTAATAATCATACGAATCCAAAAATCAACCAAGTAACAAGATCATGTAGGTAGCGATCAGAAACCATCCAAGCAACAAGGGCATACACTAGATGGAATTAATACTTAAAAATCTACAACTCGAGACGTAGTACGTCGAGCGAAATAATCCAAACAAGGAAACCCTCATGTATATACCATATGTCTCGAATTGTAAATAATTAAATATTAATCCCGATCTATGCATGAAAAGAAGTATAACCGGCCTACATCTCACAAGAATCATACTTAGCCAAGAATCGAGGTAATGTAACTAACTATCCCATCACTCATCTCAAATAATCAACAATCACAATATCACTGCTCCTCAGACCCACCCCAGGCTGAAACAAGACACGGGCGCGAGTCTGGAAAATAATCAATAATCTCGATATCACCACACCTCAGACCCACCCCAGGTCGACACAAGGCACTGGCGCGAGCCTGGAAAATACATCAACAATCTCATATCACTACACCTCAGACCCACCCCAGGCCGACACAAGGCGCTGGCGCGAGCCTGGAAAATACATCAACAATCACATATCACAACTCCTCGGACCCACCCCGGTGACTACACAAACTTCACCAGCGCGAGCCCGGAATATACACTAACAATCCCAACCACTCACATAGACCAAGACTTCTCATCCTAATTCTCGTAATTCTAGGTCAACTACACACGGGATTCTAGATCCTAACTGTGTCATACAGGTCACTATAGTCATAAACTCCTAATGATTCTCAATCACAACATGGAGCAATCAATCAATGCAACTAATCATGTGTAATAATATCATAATATTTCAGATAATCAAAATAAGAATTATAAATCATAAACAACAGCTACTTAATCAGAAAATAATCTTTTTCTAAATTTAATTCATTTTAAATTATTTCGCTTAACAATTAATCTAAACTAATTCATTTTCCAAAATAAATTCTTTTAAATTATTATAATTATCTAAAAATGATTCCTTTGCCGAACTAAATTCTTTTAATTCATTATAATTATTCTGAAAATGTCATTTATCACATATCCATTATGTAAATCAATATTATTCACCAAACAACACACGCAGATAAATACGTCACAATTAAACTATACAAATAATTCATAAAAAATGTAAATAATCAAACTACGAAACAGGAGAGCAGAATCTTGCCTGCGATACCGTGGGGTCTGATGATGAGGCTGTGGCGCCGATGCGGACGCGGTACGTTAGGACTGAAACGGTGAAGCAAATCTGAGTTGATAGACAAAGCTCAGACTGTCGGCGGGTGGCGCCGGGGCTGTTGGGCACGGCGGATCTGACAACACGTTGGTTGGCTCGAGGGTGGCGCTTCATCGAGGAGATCGGCTCGTTCTGGCTATCGCCGGCGGCGTGTCTGGTCGTGAGAGCGACAGAAGGAGTTGACAGGGTGGGGCGGGGTTTGTTGGGGCAGCAGGAGGGGGCGGTAGGCTCTGAGCGTGGTGGGGAGAGGCGCCGAGCTGCTGCTGTGGCGAGGAGGCGGTGAGGGGTTTGGCGGCTCAGGGAGACGGCGTGGAGCGGCTGAGGGTCGAGCGCGAACTCCGGTGGGTTCGGATCGGGTGCAGGCGGCCGGTCTCAGGGTGTTCGAGTTCGTCGGAGGCGGAGCGGGGTTTGTGAGTGTGAGCAGAGCATGGTCGAGGTGCGGTGTATGGGGCGCGAAGAGAAACGCGTAGCAGAGAGAGAAGCAGGTGATGATTGCGGCGTGTCTAACTACGAGGGGGGGAGAGAGAACAAATGAAACATATCATATATGTACATATATATATAGGTAATTAGGGTTTTAGTTAGGTATTTAAACAAAATATAATTAATTAAATAGTTATGGGTATTTAAAAATTGAAATAATTACAGAATAATTATCTACAAACAAAAACGTACATGTTGAGCTTTTACAATAGTTAATACGAAATAGTCAAAATATACTCATATTGTATAATTAAACAAGAATAATTAATAATAAAAATATATTTACTTACATTTAAAATCAAATAATTATGGGACAATTACATACACAGTAAAACGTACTAGTTATACTAATACGATAGATAATATGTAACAATAGAAATAATACAATAAATTATACCAAAAACACGTAATTAATAATACTATGCATTATATAAAATAATTCATAATAATATTAATAGTACAATATATTATTTAAAATAATACGTAATAGTACCGATACACAACAAATTAATTCCAGAAATTTTTTACCGCATAAAATAAATTTATAAATATCAAAATCATTTAAATAAATATATAATATGATTTTTAAATTATAGAAAATTATAGAAAATCGAGAAAAATACAAATACTCTTTTAAAAATCATAATTAAATATTTTAAAATACCAAAAATTTATTTTAACTAGTATCAAAATTCACGATCATTACAAAGTTCATCTGGTTTGTAAAACTCGTTTGTTTAACGAGGTTCGCCCGATGGAAGAGATTCGTCTGATTTGTTGCACGGTGCAACGCGACCTTCGCATTCAGGTGTTACTGCATGCAGCAGTTACAACAACATTTAAATTAATTGTTGTTACAATCATAATGATTTGTAACAGTCACATTGATTTTAGGTGACTCTTGAGCTAGCCTTAGAGGCATATAAATAGTACCTTTTGGGGCAGCTCTTGGTGAGTTCTAGTATACACACGAAAATACATTGAGTTGTTGTGCTGCTGCTGGTGCAGAGCTTGTGCTCGAAGAACTGTTGTACTACGGCTGCTGCAGAGCCTGTGCCCGAAGGATTTTTGTGTAAACCGAAAGGTTTAAGAGATCGAGATCTTTGCCTTGACCGAAAGGTCTTATAGATCGAGGAGATCTTGACAATACTTGGTTGATGCACACCATTGTATTGTACTGTTGTTCCTGAAAGCAGTTTGGCCTTGGGATCATTGCACCAGAGTAGGCCAAATATTATTTTAAGCACAACGTTTCACAAACGCACAACAGTTAACTTAAAAAGTTTAAAATTACAACACATCAATTTTTTTCTGTTTTATTCCAGATTTAACCACAATCTCCAACAAACTTATTGTGTCAAAAACGAGTTTATTGCCCTTTTTAGCATAACAAAGAGTCAAGAGAATGGATTAGGTCAAAACGGATCAGATTAGAACTTGATCCAAGTAGAAAGTGAGAGGGAAAAAAAAATCCTTTCTCCTCTTGATAGATACCAAAAAAAAAAAAAAAGCTCTCCNCTCTCACGAGCCAGTATACATGACTCAGGATCGCTGGCTCTTTCTAAAACATTGCCTTCCTCCACTACCAGTCCCTCTTCTCCTCTTCGACCACTAAATCCTACCTACCGTCGTCAACATATCTACCCCCTCGCAATTCCTCCTGGTCACCGTCACCCTCTTTTTCCATTCTATTCATCCCAATGTTTTCTTTCTCATCTTCTTATAGTGGTAGATTAAAGACAGCATCAAGAAATAAAATTAACTCATGCTCAAATAAGGGCATTCTTGTCATTTGGTGGTGATTCTTCAAATCCCTTTGATTAGTGAGTTGGAACAAAATGTGGATATTTAGATCAAACCTGTTGGGACAAACCCGGGGCCCAATAGAGCAGGGTCGCAACAATAGAAAAGCAAAAGTAGAGATAAAATAATAGACACACAGATTTACGTGGTTCGGCACTTGATTGCCTACGTCCACGGGCAAGGATAGAAGAATCTACTATGAGGAGAAAACTCTGGAGTTACAAATTCTCTCTCTTTACAAGGAGAAACTCTCTCTATTTTTTCTCTCTCACTCTTCTTATATAAAAAGTTGTTTCTGGGATGAGATTTCCTTAAGGATTTGGAGCCCTATTTATAGTTTTTAGAAAAATACTATGCACAATAAAATATTAATATTTTACTGTAGCTGTGGGGCCCGCTCTTTTGTTTTCTTCTCCATTTTCAAAGTTGGTGGCTGCTTTCGGTGATGGTAGGCGCCTAACAAAACCAAGGATCCTCAAGTCCCTTGACTAGTTACTTTCGTAAAAACCCTCAAAACCTTCAAGTCGCTTTACTTATATTACGTTCTAAACAAAAGCTCTAAAAAAAAAGGCATTATACTTTCCTTCCGCTCCATTCTAGTGATACCTTCATTGGAAATACGGGATGCCTTAACAAAGTTAAGAATTGCCACCAAAGTCGTTCATATACTTTTCTTAATATAGACAAAAACATATAAATATAAAGCATACAAATAAACATATAAATAGGCATATTAGATAGGTAATTTAATTTTGTGAAGATTTGAGGGGTACATATGCAAAAACCCCAACATATAAATAAGCATATTAGAGGAGATCACTTCCTCTACCACATTATCTCACTACTGATCGTCCAGTGCACACAATTTCCATAAAGAGAGAAGTGATTTTTTTTTTAAATAATGGCAGCTGAATCATTTGTAATGCAGTTGATCGAAAGCCTAGGCTCTGCACTTGCCGGCGAAGTTGCTAAGGCCGTATGCTCCCCGATAAAACGAGAGGCTCTCCTATCATCAGAAGTGCATAGCCGAATGGGGTCCATCAAGGGAGAGTTTGAACTGATGAGAAGCTACCTCAGGGAAGTGGACAACAGGAGAGATGACAGCCAGCTTGTGGAGGCATGGGCGAGGATCCTCCAAGACCTTGTCTACAAGGTCAGTTAATCAAAATACATGCATACATATAACACATACATATACGCATATCAGTAATATTACTCTGTTCATATTTGGATTTCGTAACATTAAACTCGCGCCTTCTGTAGTTGTATATCGGACCACCAAATCTTCACATTTCTAAACCGAGCCTCCAAATCTCTTGAGTTGTTTTAAAATAACCCCTCCATGAATTTCATTCAAAACTTTTACCATAGTATGGCTAAACGCATAACCATCTTTGTCAAATTACATTAATACCCCTATTAGTTAGGTCCCCCATCTCTCTTCTAACTCCCAATCTCTCTCATGTCTCATCTTCGCCAATCTCTGCCTTTTCTTTTGACTAGTTTTTATGCACGTGCAATGCACATGGTTAAATATTAAAATAATTTATTTTTTTATTACTATAAATAAGTTAGATTTATTTTAATTATTAGATTTGCTATAAATTTTATTTAAACATTATTAAGAAATTAATGTAATAGATTTTTGTACTAAACCGGGATCAATATACTTAACTGGGATATCACTATTGATTTTCGTAGAAAAGATATCAGTTGACATAATAATATCTTCAAACAGAATAGTAAAAGAAAATAAGTTAAATTGATACTACATGTCATATTCTAAACTCTACTAATCCCAAGCTATAGTATGGAGTCAAGGATGAATAACAATATCATTATGAACTATAGTTCTAGCAATAAAAAAATAACATTTCTTATTGCATTGAAAATAGAATTACACTGCACTTTTTAACATTATAAGCTCATGTTTTATAATAAACAATATATATATATGAGATCTCAGCCTACATTATTTGATAGACTTAAAATAAAAAAAGACAATAACTAAAGATTAATGGTAACTATAGTATAATTTTATATGACAAAAGCAATCATATAAGCATACAAAAATACTAAAAATTTTGCATGAAAATTTCTTCTAAATATTCTTAATTTTACTCAAAATTAAGTTATAATATAATATTATCATTTATTCTTTTTTATTTCATATTTTAATTGAGCCGATATCAATCTTTCTCCATGTTTATCTTTTTATTGGGCAATTCTAGAGTAACGTCTTCATCATCTACATCAATTGTGATATCAGGTTGGAGTTGAATTTCTTAAAATTATTTTTTTCAAATAATGAAGTCCAACACCAAACTAACTCATTTGTCTTTTGCTCCCCCTCAAAAACCATAACCCTAATCCATGAAATAGGTTTGTACATAATGAAGAATAAAAAAAGACAACGTCAAGAGACCAAAAAGAAAAAAGAAGGAATTGAATAAGAATTACTAGGCTTGTACATGATAAAGAGCAAAAGACAAGACAAGAGTCCATAAATGTAATACCCCAACCCTGGGAAGTTTTCCAGGGAGCGCGTGAGTGAGGACAAAAACGTGCTGAAAAGACATGTGGTTGTTTGTGAGGCCAGTCCATCAGATCTAGTAGCGTACTGACACCGGGATTCCGGGGCGGGGCGTTATAATAAATATATTAGGATATACTTGAATCAAATAAATTATATTATTATTCATAATTAATATGCATAAGAGACAAAATGTGTTGACAATCTTAAACTATAAAATATACTGTATGGGCCCTCTAACATAATTTTTTAATGCAAGCAACCCCTAAGATTAATTTTGAAAATCTCTTGGTTTTGGGGAAGAGTTTGGATGTAAAGAACAAATGTTAAATTATCTGATCCGATTAAAGTATGATCATATAAGTTAACCACATACATGAAATTTATTTTAACCAAAACCCATATATAAGTATTATAATTGGCATTGAGATCAAAGATACTTAACCAAAACCCATATATAAGTATTATAATTGGCATTGAGATCAAAGATACGTGTGAGATTCTCTTTGACTTTTATACTTTATAATTGGCATTGAGATCAAAGATACGTGTGAGATTCTCTTTGACTTTTATACAAACAATATCTATTAAATAATAATAGTATAATTACACTTTGTGATTTGAAAAGAAATCAAACATACAATATAATTAATTACTTTAAAATAATTTAATCTAATTTAATAGGAAGAAAATAGATAAAAGTACTGTGAAAGTTGTTGCAATTTTATAATTCATAATTCTTAAAAAAATTAATCTATTCTAATAAGAAGAAAATAAAAAAGACACATACTTGTTGAAGGAGATAAAAGTACGATGAAAATTATTATAATTTCTTGATCCGATAAAACATCAAATATACAATATAATTAATTGCTTATAAATAATCTAATCTAATCTAATAATAAAGGCACATGTCTGTAGAAGGAGATAAAAGTGCTATAGAAATTATTATAATTTATTGGTGGCTTATATATATTAGTATATGATGTAGTATGTGAGAGGATAATAATTATAAATAGAGTTCTATTTAAATAATAATAGTATAATTAAAATTTTAAACTAACTGTGCAGTACTTTGAACTACTTCAATTTTAGTCGCTGAGAGATCGTCACTTTGTGTGTAATTATTAATCATATAGCATGTGAATAATTATTTACAGATTGACATTATTAATCATATAGCACGTGAATAATTATTTACAGTTTGATCATTGATCACATATAAGAGCGAGGGGGTAAATTTGACATTTAATAAATCGCCTAATTAACCTAAGCGTACCGTGAACTACTTGAATTTTAGTCTATGAGAGATCGTCATGTTGTGTGTAATTATTAATCATATATCATGTGAATAATTATCTCAGTTTGGCATTATTAATCATGTAGCACGTGAATAATTATTTGTAGTTTGATCATTGACCACATATAAGAGTGAGGGGGGAGAG